AAACATTATAAATCACTCCATTTGTTAGGATTTCTTTAATCTTTCTCCATAATATTCTGTAGCTTTCAGCATAAGGGTTTTACATACTTTTTGCTAAATTTATTCTGGATACTTGATATTTTTGATGCTACTGTAAATAGTGCAGTTTTTAAATTTCATTTTTTATTTGTTATGGTATACAAAATATATCTCTGATTTTTATATCTTGGTCATTGTATGTGTGCAGTAACCTTGCTGAATTCATTTATTAACCCTAATCAGTTTGTAGATAATTTTGAATTTTCTATGTACACAATCATGTCATTTGCAAATAATGACTATTTTATTTCTTCCTTTCTAATCCTTATGATTTTTATTTCTTTTCCTTTTTTTTTGGCTTATTATGCTAGCTATGGCCTCCATTATAATATTGAATAATAGTGGTAATAATAAGCATCCATACCTTTTTTCCAACCTGAAGGAGTAAAAGTTTCAATATTTCAGTATTAAGTACAAAGATGGCATTGTAAATGTTCTTTATCAGAATAAAAGAAGTTCCCTTCTATTCACAGTTTAATGAGTCTTTTTTTATATCATGAATAGGAGCTCAATTTTTCAAAGGTGTTTTTCTGCATCTATTGAGATCTAAAGATTGCTCTGCCTTTTTCTATTAGTGTAATGAATTATACTGATTTTCAAACATTAAATTAACACCACTTGTTATGTATTATCCTTTGTTTGTATTGTTGAGTTCAATTTTCTAATTTTTTTTTTTAAGGGGAGGTGTATGTGTGTGGATTTTTTCAACCATGTTCATGGGAGAGATTGCTTTGTATTATTCCCTTTGTGTACTTGTTGGGTTTTGATATCAGGATTATTATGCTGATCTCATAAAGAGGGTTCCTCTTTTTTTATTCTCTGTTAGAGTTTATGAAAAATCATTGTTATTTCTCCCTTAATTTTTGGGAAGAATTCACCAAGGAAGCCATCTGCATCTAAGGTTTTCTTTGTGGGATGGTTGTTACAGCTTCAATTTCTTTAATACACATCAAACTATTCACACAGTTTATTTATCCTTCTGTCAGTTTTGCAAAGTTTTATATTTTGATAAATTTCTACATCTCATCCAAATGGCTGAAGTTCTTTATAAATTCTTTTATTATCTTCTTGAATACTATAGGGTCTTAAGTGGTATCTCCTTTGTTATTCCTGAAATCTATATTTCTCTATTTTATTGTCCACACTTACAATGGCTTTATCATTTTGTTAAACTTTTTAAAGATTTAACTTTTGGGGCTTTTTTGCTGATTTTATTTTATGTTTTTTACTGTATTGCTTTTTATTCTTATCTTTATTATTCCTTCCTTTATCATTTCTTTAAGTTTAATTTGCTGTTCTTTTCCAAGCTTTTTGAGAAGGAAGTGTAAATCACGATTCTTTTTTCTAATATATGCAATGAAGGTATAAATTTCCCTCTAACACTGTTTTAGCTACATCCTACAAATTGTGATATGGCTATTTTCATTATCATTCAGTTCAGAATATTTTTCTGATTTCCATCTTGATTTTTAGTTTAATCCTTAGGTTATTTATAAGAGTATTGTTCAATTTCTGGTCTACTGGAGACACTCTAGTTATGTTTTTATTGTTTATTTTTAACTTAATCTCATTGTTGTCAGAGGCCAGACTCTAAATGACTTCATTGTATTGAAATTTGTTGAAGTTTATGGTTTGTCATATGGTTATTTTGGTAAGTTTTCCATATACAGTTAAAAAGCATAGGAATCCTATTACTGTAAGGTACAGTGCTATGTCAATTAAGTAAAATTTGTTCACAGTATTGTTCAGATATTTTGTAAATTTATTGACTATTTTTGTCTGTTTGTTCAAGCTACTAAAAAGGATGTTTTCAAGTTTTCCACTCTTATTGTGGGTCTATTTCATCTTCTAATTCTGCTAATTTTTTGCCATATATTTTGAAGCTATGTGATTTTGTGCATACTGATTAGAATAGTGATATTTTCTCAAAGGAGTGATTTATTTAGTTCCATGAAATGTCCTCTTCATTTCTAGCTTTTTCCTTTTTCATATGTCTAGTATTTTTTCATTGTATTCTGGAGAGTAAATAAAAGAACCACAGAAATTTCAGTCTAAATGATGTTAAGCTCGTCTCCTCTGTTAAGCAGATAGAGTGAAGGACTGATCTTCTCAACAAATCAGGGACTGAACTGGGTTAGGCTTAATTATAGCTTTGGCAAATCTCAGTCTACCTCTGGTTCAATCCTGTTCCTAGGGCATGCCTCCCCCATGGTTTTCAACAAACAGGCTAATCAGTCTTTGACTTCTCAATATGGAATAATTACAGGAGATTCAGATCTGTCCTCAGAGGTTTACAGCTTACCTCTTTAACTCTCCCATCCCATAGAGTTCCAAATTTTGGCAAATATTTTAAGGGAGAAACAGGCTGTGTTTAAGGTCCCTCAAGTCTCCCGTTTTGTCACTCAGGCACCACATCAATGTCAAGGTCTCTATTGGTTTCTTTACCTTCTGCCCCAGCTTCTTGCTAAGGCCAAGCCTGAATTTTAGCCTCCAGTTGAGGCCATAATTGGTGAGTGCCCCCGGGTGAAAAGAGCTGTAAGTCTTCCACATCAACTCATGTGTTCTTAGACCCATGCTCCCAGCCAGTCTGTTTCCTAAGCACCACTAGACTGATGGAGATTTCACTTTGCCTCTCAGAAGCAACAGCCTAGTTCTTTAACTTTCAGTGCAAACTCATAATTCAGTAAGTATCTTATGAGGACAATCTCCAATTTGTCTCTCATATTAGTCAGGGTCTTAGAGAAACAGAAGTGATAGGAGACACAGATCTGTGAGCTGGAGACCCAGGAAAGCCAGTGGTATAATTCAGCCTGAGTCTGAAAGCCTGAGAGCCAGGAGTGTCAAGGTCCAAGGGCAGGGGAAGACGGATGTCTCAGTTCGAGCAAAGTCACCCTTCCTCTGCCTTTTTGCTCTATTCAGGCCAACAGCTCGGATGTTGCCCACCCACACTGGTGAGGGTGAATCTTTACTCTGTCTACTGATTCCAATGCTAACCTCTTCTGGGCATACCCTCACAGACACACCCAGAAATAATGTTTTAGCAGCTATCTGGGCATCTCTTAGCTCAGTCAAGCTGACACATAAAATTAACCATCACATCACCATAGTCCCATGGAACCACTGCAAACTCCACTGGCTTCTCTATCCTCCAGCAGACCTCTTCCTGGCCAACCCCCAATCCTAGCCCACAATGAGAATCAGTGAGTATTACCCACAGGGCTGGGAACAGTCCTAAAATATTCTCCCATTCTAGAATTTTCATCTAGCTATTCATCTTTGTTTCTACAGTTGTCTGATGTCTTTAAAATGTGATTTATTTTCATCATTTATCCAGCTGTGTCTAGATGTTAGCAGCAGCAGCAGCAATGCCCCGCCGTGACCTATTCCATCCTACTTGAAAATGGAAGTTAAGACATTACATTAACAACCTGTACCGTGATGCTATGTACTGTGCTCACCTGCAAGGCCAGGTTTTAAACCTGGTTGCTTGTTGTTTTCATACATTTTCAACATAAAATTGGGGATTCCCGCTATAGTCTTTCCTTGGTCTGAGCATGTACCTCCTCTTAACGCAGAGTAATACACCCCACGGGGCATATTCACCATTTCCTGCTTCACAAGCGATGTAAAAAATTCCTCCAAAGCTGAAAGAGATAAAAGATCAAAAGTAAATACAGTATACTAGAAGAGAAACATTCTAGTGTGTGTGTGTGTGTGTGTATGTGTGTGTACATAAAACAAAGGAACTTCAGGCCAAACTTTACCAAGTAAAAAGAGACCTCTTGATTCTCATCCCTTTTTTAGTCTTCCCCAAGTCAGAACTTGGCACCTAGTTATTCAAGCTTAAAAACTTAGTCATTCTTAACTTTTCTCTTTCCTACACTGCTTATATGTGCTCCAATAGCAACTCCTTCTAGATCCACCTTCAAAAATATATCCCAAATCCATCCATTTCTCCCCATTTTCATTTCTTGCTCAGTCATTATCTCTTCTCTTCCTCATCTGGACTAATTTAAAAACTAACTTCGTGTCTTCTCCTCATGATGCCCCCTATAAACCATCCTTTACCCAAAGCCAGAATTTTATGACATTCTTAGCTCTAACATCTTCCAGTAGATTTTCACTGTACGTAGAATAACATCAAAACCTCTGACAATGATTAAGGCTTTCCGAGATCTAGCCCCGACCCCCTCTGACTTCATCTCTAACCATCCGCCCTCCTTCCCAGCTGCTACGTTGAAGGCACTCTTCCACGTGGCCTCTTTTCCATTCTTCAGCAACATGAAGTTCATGTCCAAGTCCTGGCCACAGCACTGGCTATTCCTTCCACCTGGAACACACTAGTCCCCGATTCCTGTTTGACTGACTCCTTCTTGTCGTTTAGGTATTTTTAGAGAGGCCTTTTATGACTGTCCATCATTCTGTAGCAATAGCAGTATAAGCATTAAAAACCAAAGTATTAGCTCATTATTTATTTGCTGTGTTTCTTCTAATTGCCCGAGGTCTTTATAGCTTGACATTTTTACTTATAAGGCAACACAGAAATGTGGGATCAGAAGACAATAGGATACCCAAATATAGGATTATATTCAAGTGTTATTTTCTGAAGGACCACTAGAGGTTGCCCAATACAGAAACAAGAACACCAAAAAACAGTAAAACTAAACAAATCATATGGAAAACAAAAAAAAGGAAGCCACTGCATGTGTCTCTTATTATAGGAACAAAAAGCAAGGATCCACTTAACTAAACTGGAATTTCATTCTTAAATATCAGATCTAAAAGTCCCCTTTAAATGACTCTGGTTCAATTAAAGGCAGTAGGTGCTCACTGGAGCATCTATTATGTGCCCAGTTCTGTCATTCCTAGATAGACACTTCCTAGATGCAACCGCACTTCTCCATTCAAAGCCTGGAGAACACTTGTGCTGGAGGCTTTCCGTTTACCCCTGCAGATTCTCTCTCTACCCTGTCAACCCTGCTCTGTGCCCTGGAACAATAACATTTAACAGCTGTACAACAGGCTCCCTTGTCCTCTGGCTTCATCCAGTGGACACTAGCAGGAGTCCAGAGGATGAAATAGAGTGAGGTCAGGGCATGTATTCCCCAGACACTCACCTGCAGGATTGCCACAGGTTGCCTGCATCCCTCTTAGGGAGGCCCTGGCTCCCCTCTGGCAGCCCTGTTTGTGACACAGATGCCCTTTCTATTCTCCTAACCGCCACCTCCCCTTACCTCTTTAGACAGAGGAACATTAACTACTCTGAGATGACCCAGTTTTGCTTGTAATTTCCTTTCACCTTGACAACATAACTGCAAATAGCCCCTTTGTTACACTCTCAATATATGGACCTGAATGTGCCTTTCCTGTCCAGGTCCTAATCAATACACCCTTTAAATCAAAGAGATGAGGAACATCCAGTTGCAGGCCATACACCTCAATACCTGCATTCGTGTGCATATGTATGACTACTTCAAGCTGAGAATGAGTTCAGACTTTTCAGAATGTAGCTAGAAACCTCAGTGAGGATAGAGGAGCTATGATGAGAGAAGGTAATTTCATACTTTCTCAGAAGGGATCCTATTCTGGCAAAAGCTGATACATGTCAAGAGATAAGTACCCATCTGCACATAGCCTGGAAATGTGTCTACTTATCAAGCTCTTCAGAGAACTCAGGATTCTCAAATAACTCCAGCCCTGAGAATGGTTTAAATGAGGGTAAGATACCGGGAGTGCCACTGATTCTGTGGAGCACCATCTTCCCACAGCCACTCAGTTGGCAACTAGGACTTTGCCCTCTGTCTGGGAGCCTTGCCCTAGTCTTCATGGAACCAGGTGAGAATTTGAGAACAGCTGAAAATATGCAGAACACAGTGTCAGATATAAATTTCTAAAACAACCCTAATGTCGTTCAACAGGTGAGTGGATAAACAAATGGTAGGTAGTACATCCTACAATGGAATACTACTCAGCAATAAAAAAACCCCACAATTCATATAGGCAACCTTTTGGATGGATTCCAAGACATTATGCTGAGTAGAAAAAAAAAAAAAAAAAGGTAACCCAAAAGGTTATGTACTGTATGAAAAAACAAAAACAAAAACTGGTAACATCGAATGAGGTTATAGTTGATAGTATTGTACCAATGTGAGTTTCCTGGCTTTAATAATGAACTAAGGCTACGTGAGATGTTACTTATGGGAGCAGCAGGGTAAGAGAACATGGAAACTCTCTAAACTGATTTTGTGACATCTTGTAAGTCTAACGTTATTTCAGAATTGAAAGAAAAATTTTAAATCAATACCAGTCACACCTCTTTTAAAAATTATGCAGATTACTGGATTTGCTTGGCAGCTGCTTCTGTGTTTACCTGAAAGGAAATAAGAGGCGCAAAGGGCCAGGATGCACTTAGATTCAGTGCAACCGGGTTTCTGCCTCCTGTCCCTAGAGACCTGATATGTATCACCCACCCTGGGCCTTCCAGGGTGTACATTCTGAAGGCTGGTCCTTTCTCCTGCTTTGTTTCTGAGTTCTCCAGGAATCCCTGGGAAAGTGAGGCATGAAGAACGAAGAACTTTGCCCATGGTGACATGGCTAGCCAGACACAGAGAGCATCTACACCACCCACCTGATTATTGAGTTTTCTCACACAGATACCGTTGTTGCACTCACTGCACTCCCCCACTCCTCCTTTCTCAAGGAGAGGTGCTAACAACCATCAAGTACAAGCCAGGTAGAGGAGCCGGGTACTGGCCACTACAGCACCGCACAGATCAGGAGGACAGAAACAACAGCATACCTTGGCAACAAATATCTTCCCCCTTCTCCTTCTTCTCAAACCACAAGCGTGGGTGAGGGATCCATGTAGGTAGAAGGGAACGACGTCATTTAAAAAGCTCAAGGGGCCTTTTAATTCTAAGGCTATTTTAGGATACAGGAGGAACGTTAGTAACCAAAGGCTTTTTCCTTCCTCAGACTCACTATTAACTGCAGGAGAGGTCCTAGACTCTGAAGAACCTTGAGGTGGGAAGTGGGTTAGAACTGAAGAGAGGAACAGGGAACATGTCTTTGAGGCTTGTTCTGGATGTCAGGAATAAAGAAAAGGTGAACTCTAAGCTGTACACATTTAGTTTTCTCTAACGAAAGGAGGTGGGGAATTGGGCCAGGGGCTTTGTCTGAAAATAAATAACATATTCGGCTGAAATCCTCAGGAATCTCCATGTGGGATGAAACCAAGGAAAAATCTTCCATACTTACAGGCTAATGGGATTATGACTGAAAAGTGTTTATTGAACTTACTTTTCAGAAATTAAATTTTTTTTAAAGTTAAAGTTTATTGGGGTGACAACTGTTAGTAAAGTTACATAGGTTTCAGGCAGAAAAACAGACACATAGACCAATGGAATAGAATTGAGAATCCAGAAATAAACCCATATAAATATGGACAGATAATTTTCGACAAAAAAGCCAAAAACATACAATGGAGAAAAGGCAGCCTCTTTAATAGATGGTGCTGGAAGAATTGGAAAGCCATATGCAAAAAAATGAAACTAGATTGCTATCTGTCATTGTGTACCAAAATTAACTCAAAATGGATCAAAGACCTAAACATAAGACCTGAAACAATAAATTGCATAGAAGAAAACATAGGTACTAAACTTATGAACCTTGGGTTCAAAGAGGATTTTATGAATTTGACTTCAAAGGCAAGGGAAGTAAAAGCTAAAATAAAGGAATGGGACTATATCAAACTAAAAAGCTTATGCACCGCAAAAGAAACCATCGACAAAATAAAGAGGCAGACAACTGAATGGGAGAAGATTTTTGCAAACAACACCTCCAATAAGGGGCTAATATCCAAAATATATAAGGAACTCATTCAACTCAAGAGCAAAAAAAACAAACAATCCAATTGAAAAATGGGCAGAGGACCTGAACAGACATTTCTCCAAAGAGGACATACAGATGGCCAATAGACATATGAAAAGATGCTCAACATCACTAATCATCAGAGAAGTGCAAATAAAATCCACAATGAGATATCACCTCACACCAGTTAAATGGCTATCATCAACAAGACAAATAATAACAAGTGTTGGAGAGGCTGTGGAGAAAAAGGAACCCTTATACCCTGCGGGTGGGAATGCAAACTGGTGCAGTCACTATGGAAGGCAGTGTGGAGGTTCCTTAAAAAATTAAAAGTAGAATTACATATGACCCAGCAATTCCTCTCCTGGGTATCTACCCAAAAAATCTGAAAACATTTATCCGTAAAGATATATGTGCTCCGATGTTCAGAAATTAAATTTTCATATCCCTGAACATTCAAGGTAGAAGAATTGGGACAGAACAGGTAATAGATGCCTGCTCAGCAAAATGTTGGCTAATACTGAATTAGAATAATTAGATATAATTAGAGTAATTTTTTAAATGCCAAGTCCTATAAACTTTATGTCAAAACTGAATGACCATACAGTTTGACCTACTTTTAAAAGGTATTAATTTATAGTTCTTGAAATATTGGTACCATTTTTGGGGTAACACTAAAGAAAGAATAAATTTATAATGATGAAACTACCCAGTAAATCTTGAAAGGAAATTCTGATGATCTTCTCAGTTAGCTTATATAATAATGAACCATTATTTGAATCGTGACTTAAAGTCCCACTGCAAATGTGTCTTGCAGAATAAATTTAGCATTTGAAATGTATTTTTAATTTTCAGTCAAAATGGTTGTTTAGTTTCCAGTTCAATTTCACTTGAGTCTAACATATTCAGTATGTTTTGAATATCAAACAACCTCAAGCATTCCCTATAGAACAGATGGATATATTTTGCATTTCAGATAGAAAATAAGTATGTAAGATTAAAGTAAGCTATAATATGTACACATCACAAGAGAACACAATTAATCAGATAGGTAAAATCAGTGAAAAAAGCTAGTTGCCCTACCACTAAATAAGAGTTACCTGGTAAAACCAAAGGTGCAGTGAGTGACAATAGTTTGAGATAGCAAGAGCCAGAAACCGAAAGATCCACATCCTTTTCCTCATCATCTTCATCTTCATCTCGCTCAGCAGGCATGTAGGTTTCTGGTCTTATCTAAAATGACAGAGAAGGCAATACTAAAACATTATGTAAAATCTTTTCTTTGTCCTTTTTATGTCAAGATTTAAAAACTGAGTTAGACTCTTTGCTCTATAACATCAAAAGACCATTAAAAATTACTTTTTAAAAATCTGTTTATTTTCAGATTAACTAGATGTTAACCTCTAACCATCTTATTAGATACAATCCCAGGTCCATGTAAAGAACTAACGATAACGTAGCAAGAAAATCACCATAAGTCAATATAAGCAATGATTACTATAGAAAACTAATAAAATTTTACACCATCCGACAATAAAATGCAAACACTGACACATTCAATATACTGAACTTCCATGGCTTATAATTAAATATTTGCCTTGTCTGAATACATTTTTTTTCTTTTTTAATTTGTGATTCCAGCCACATGACTATGACAAAGCTTAAAATCTTCCAGTATCATATATAGACAAGATCAGGAAAGGACAGAAGACAGAATGCTTTAGTTGATTTTTTTTTTTTTAGACTTGGCAGTTTGTTGCTATAGAATATAAAAACACTAAAATCTGTAATTAATTGGTAGCTTTACTTTATTGTGTATGATTTGCAATTTTAAGATTTTTATGGTTGCTCTGTGATTAGTTAGGTTTGTTTGAACCAAAAATAAAAAATGTTAAAAGATCGATGCGGGGAGGCGGGTTGTTACTTTATGAGGGATGAAAAGGATAGCTATTGCATTGTTTTGTACACCTGAAACTAATAATAAAAAATTAAAAATTAAAAAAAAGTAAAAATATTATCATTATTGTAGTTTCTACAAGATATAAATAATGTCAAGCAATTACTTAATTTTTTAATACGTTCAATGACACACTGTCATAATGCCCACGTGGAGATATTAAGCATTAGGGAGGAAATCTAAATATATAAAAGTGGTCGCTATAACCATAAAGTGCCAGAACCCAGTCATTACCATTAGCCTGTCTCCCAGAGTTATTTTTAGAAATAATTAACAATTCCTGCAGACTGCCTTCTTCATAGGTCCCCAAAGAACTGTTCCATTTAGGAACTGCACTGAGTCAGGATTCTTGCAGGGGAATTTAAAAAAAAAAGAGGAAATGCTTCTCTTAAGTATAATAACCTCAACTCCAATGAAGCCTTTCAACCATAACTAGTGTTCTCTTCCATAGTGAAGGAGTGAAGGCAACCTGTCTACCTGAGCACTTTCTAAGACAAGATTTAATTCTGATTCAATCAATATTGAGTACCTAATTCTCAGAGGACCGAGTCAGCCATAATTACAGAGATAAAAATACTGTATGATCCACATTGGGCATGATGGCATTTGTTGGCATCAGTGCATACCAGAGAAACCCTGGCATGTTTGCACACCTTCTGGTTCTGACAAGCAGGGTCTCTGGTCTGCATACACACTTGGAAGTTTCCAGGTTTAATATCGTCAGGAATTATCTTAGAGATGCTAACCAGTCCTAGTTGCCTAAAATGTCCCCCAAAGAAGTTGGTTCTGGTCCATCTGCTTTGCTTCCTGACTTTTTACACATCACAGCACAAATTGAAAATAATATTTGAACAGCATACTGGGCAAACAGACAACAATGCCTACAGCTGGAGACTATATCGGTCACACCAGTTACTGCACCAGCTCATCAGAGCACTGGGAGCTTTGATATATGAGTATATCATATTCACAATTGATAGGAGACCTGGGGAAGTGGAAGGCAGAGGTAAATACTTAAGCTAATATGAAAACTCAGAGAGATGGTGAGGGTGTGGAGAGATCAGAACCCTCACACACTGCAGGTGGGAATGTAAAATGCTGCAGCCCCTTTGGAAAGCAGTTTGTCAGTTTTTTAAAAAGTCAAACACAGTTATATGCCCCCAGCAATCCCACTCCTAGGTGTATAAACAAGAGAAATGAAAATATACAGTCACATAAAAACTTGCACACAAATGTTCATGAATGTGAATGCATTATGTATAATAGCAAAAAAAAAGAAAAAAGAGAAAGCAGCTCAAACACCCATCAACTGATGAATACAAAAAACAAAATGTGGCCTATCTATATAATGGAATATTATTCTGTCACAAAAAGGTATGATGTAAAGATACATGCTGTATGTGAATGAACTGTAAAAACATTATTCTAAGTGAAATAATCCAGTCACAAAAGACCACATACTATATGATTTCATTATAGGAAAGGATCAGGCCAGGCAAATTTATAGAGACAGAAAGTAGATTAATGGTTGCTTAGGGCTCGGGGAGGGGAAAGGGGTAATGGGAATTGACTGCTAATAAAATGTTCTAAAATTAGATTGTGGTTGCTCTGTGATTAGTTGCACAATTCTTTGAATATATTAAAACCACTGAATTGTATGCTTCAGATGGGTAACTTATATCCCAGTAAGGCTGTTTAAAAAGAAAGGAAGGAGAGAGGGAGGAGGGAAAGGAAGGAGGAAGGAAGGATATAAGAAAGAGGGGAAATGGAAAGGGGAGAGGAGAGGGGGGTCAGAGGCGTTAGCAGCACAAGGGGAAGAATAAGAAGGGGAAGTGGAAGCCACCACCACCTTCAGGGGGACCGTAACTGGTGAATGATCTATGCCGAGTGACCACATGTTTCTAATTCCAGAATTATTTAGTATGAAAGGAATATACAATCTTTTTTTTTTGCACACGTTTTAGCCTATCCAGTCTTTCTGCTCATTCAACCTAAATTACTTAAAATGAGTCACAGTACCCAGCCATCAGTATTTCTGAGAGCCACTACGCAAGACCTACTAGGTTGGGGATTAAAAAAAGAATTAATCTACTCATCCATCTTAACTTGTCCAATTTCACATTCACAAAGCTGAATGCCTATGTTAATTTATCTGCTATATTGTAAACAGCATATGCCTGCATCTTACATTATGCATATATTTAACAAAAAAACTACAGGTATACTGTAATTTAAGTGTAGATGACACACTTGGCCTGCTTATAATGGTATGATTACTCCTTCAATTCTGTTTCTTCAAGGTGAGTTGATTCTCCTGAACTAAAATTAGCACTTATTGTTAGCCCTTGGTTCCATTACTTTTCCATCCTCCTCTGCTCATCTCTTAAAGAATTATTTGTTCCAGCTTCCTTATGCTAGCTCTAGTGTTTTCCCTTGGTTTGTGTGCAGCAACTGAATACGATCAATGTGGGTACAATTAAGAAAAATCAAGAGACGTCATATGAAAAAACACACGTTAAAATTATATGATTTTGGAAATTATATTACATTAGTTGCTAAAACACCCAGGAAAACCATACATATATTTAAACCACTCACACCTGCATGTACACATACAACTATAACCTTCCAATTATAGCTATGCTTTATTGAAGAAATTTAAATGGAGAGCCAAATATAAAATGATAAATTGCTTTTAAAATCTGCTTCAAATTGAATATTGGAAAGTTTATCCTACAAAATGACTCACTCTGGGTTCTGAAACAGATAACCTTTCAACCACCTTTGTGTGTGTGTAACCCATGAAAATCCAGGACTTTGTGCATAAAGAGGATTTTATTTGGAACATGTCAAGTATCTGCATACATTCATTTAAAAAGAGAAACAGCTTCTGATCAATGCACTGACATTCACTTAAGTCAAAGCCGAACAGGTTACACCATATTAATACCAACTCAGCATGCATAATGAGTTCTTTCATATTACTCACTTCTAAAATTAACTCCAGAAATCAACAACACCATTTATCTTAAGATCTCTATAATAAAAAGTTTAATTTTCATACAGCTGAATGTTTCTTAATGAACCCAAGTCAGAGAGGAGAGTCAATTTTCTATCTAAATATTTATCCATTACTGATTGTTTTATCAGAAAAACAATTCTCTACAGCTTTTTGTTTGTTCATGTTTGCACTAAAGAAAGCAGAGGAGAAGGACAAATAGTTAAAAAGCACAAAGAAAAACAAACCAAAAGGGAGAAAGCATTCATGTCTATTTTTTAACATTTGAATCAACAAGTCCACATAGGAGCCCCCCCCATTTTTTTGACCAACTTTAGATTTGCGTGTTTCAAGTGATTAACAACGATATTTTCACAAACCAATAAAGCATGCATTCATCCAAAATTCCCAGCTCATAAAATGGCCTAGCACTTAGTATATGTCCAATAAATAATTATTAAACCAATGCAAGTCGCCAAATCCCTAACTCACAGGGTGTCTCATTCAGCTCTACTAGTCAATGATGTTTTCTAACCTACCTTAGAAGTAATGTCTTATTCAACCCTAAACCTTTTTTCTGATGTCTGCCACTCCTCTAACACCTTTTGTTCTACCAGCCTCTTAGTTTTCAACAAGTTTCACAGTTTTAAATTGATGCATCAAACAAGAAATCCTTCTTTACTAAATTCAAAGAAGGGTAGCGCTTACAAAAATAGCTGAATTATAATCCCCAAAAGGAGTCACGTTGTTAAGGATGCATTATATCTTTTTTTTTTAATTCTACTTGGAATTCATACTGTGCCATTTAGAAGATTATTTCACAAGTTTCCACAAGCAGAAAGAGAGAATGTGGATGTACTTTCATCTGGAAAGGTATAGGTAACCTTCAATTTTGTGAGTACATGAAATTACCCTTGGTGCAAAGCGAGTAATCTCTGACAACAGAGAATCTTAGTTTTTATATTATATATTGGGTTGTCAGAAAAGTCATGATGCATTTTTGTAATGAAATACATAGAAAAAATACGTCATGACTTTTCCAACAACCCAATAAGTCCTTATCTGGCAGGGACTTCTGAAACAACTAAAAATAAGCTTTCCTAGAAAATGAGCCTGTTTCACATCACTGTCATCATCTACAAACAGAGGTGGGGAGCTGACTCGGTTGTCTCCTTAGCTTTGGGGACTTGTTTGGGATATGAACACACACTGACCACTCTCTGGACTTTTAGTCCTTAGGTGTTCCAACAGCCAAACTGAAAACCAGTAATCAGCACTAAGGAGAAGAACGCATGGTGCAGCCTTGGAAGCAATGATTCTCCATGAGGAGGTAGGTCTTCCACATCAAAAAACCGGCATCCGAGGCAGACTCTTTTCAAACCACTTACGTTCCCTCATCTTAACCCCAGTTGAGAATATCCACAATAGTGAACCATTGTTACTTTCGGGAGTGAGTCATATCTCAGAAGGGGGTCAGGGCAGAAGAAAAGGTTGAAAAACATGGCTAAAGAAGGATAAGTCTTAGAGATTTCCTTTACAGCTCTTCACACCCTGATGGTGAAAAGCCAAGCATGCCCAGAAGCCTCAACTCTAAGTACGTCACTCACCTTTATGTCGGAAGGTATAAAGAAATAATTATGGCTATGGCTACTCGGGGATCAGAAATTATAGAAGAGTTAAACAAAGAAAATATCTAATATTCGAGTATAGCACTTATCTGAGTGTAAACTCTAACAAATACAATCAGAAACTGGATATAACCCTAAAGTAGGAAAAATTATAAACATGTCAATATTTAAACAGGTAGAGAGACTAAATAAATAGTCAATACTATGTAAAAGTTATAATAAAAGTTATTATTCCAGCTGGAATAGTACAGGAATAATAGCTAAAAATAAAGGTAGTTGTGCTGTGATCTATATAAGCAATTGCTTATTAAAAGTAATAATAATAAAAGATATCTTCCCAGATGTTGCAGCTAATCTATTGGTAGGAGTTTACACACCAAATTTACATGTAGTTCTTTTTTGTTTGTTTTTTTTCTTACCTTTTTCTTTCTTTTCTTTTTCTTTAAGAAGCTATGGGTATTGCTAGTCACTACGGTGCAGTCTGAAGTCCCATATTTTTTTATGAGTCATAGGCTCATAAAATTTCTTTTTCTTAAGGCTTCCCATTTGCGATAACTGTATGGCAAGCCCGCCAATCTGTCATTGAGTCCTCAGTAACACAGGAAATCCTGTGTTACTGAGGATTTGGTTTAATAAGAAGAGCCTATCCTTCAGTCCTGCTTATGGGTGGCTCCCGTTCAATTCAATAAACAGAAGTTTGCCTGGTTCTTACTGGTATCTAATCTCCATATAAACTCAATCTAGAAGAAAAAGTCAACACATTTTAATGCCTGAAGACCCCAAGAAACTCATACCAAAACTTCTTGCCATTTGACCTCAAGGACAGATTCTGGGTAATGTGACACATAACTTCTTCTCACAGAATGTCTGCCTTCCATGCTTAGGCATTCAGTAAAAGTTTGTATACATTTCAGCGCATTTAAATTAGTAGTAACACTAAATGTGAAATCAAGACACTTAACTCCAGAACATAACCTAATAATTTGAAGCTGGTTATATTAAGTAGATACTAGAAAAGGCTGTATGTTTTTAGTTTAGCGTAAATACTAAGATAATGTCACACTATGTGTTAACCCTTAAATGACAGTGATACTTTCCTCATTTCCAAGTTCTCCGGGGCTAACCTACATGTCATTTTACACTAAACTGTTAAGGAGCAGATCTTTTCACATGGCATCTCAATGCTGTGTCACAAACAAAATTCTCTGGCTACACAGGTAGCATAAGCCCTAGTCAGTGCAGGCCATGCTTGGATTTAAGTCCAAGATGGCGCACTAACTTGGCAATATGGTTCCCACAGTGTCACACATCTTCTGGAGTAAGCCATGGGCACAGGCATGCAGCCATACACCCAGTCACCTTAAGGAGGCTCCATTGGCACCATAGGGGTCTTCCATCTGCTTCAAAACTATTTTAAATTTATTACCTGTGACGTCTAAGACCACTATAGTCTTTTACAGATTAAACAGATAATATAAAGTCTTATCTTTTATGGAGAACATATCTACAGTTATAGCCACATCCATCAGGTACGAATCTCCTAAGAGGAGGGGATACAAATAAAGTAAAACCCAGCAGTAAAAAGGGATCAGTGAGAAAGCAGAAAGGCCTACCTGTTCAGGTAGATGAAGAATGGTGTGCTCTCCGGCACTGAAGTGTGAGAGAGATTTATATGCAGCACTTGCTACAACTGGGTCCTAGATAGGGTACAAGTAAAACAAACAAAAGAAACAACACATATTAAAAATCAACTCTGGAAGAAGAATATCTTCCCTCACCGACCTCAAAGTTCTATTGTCAGAACTTTAAAAAATAGTATTCGAGCCTTGCTTAATCTGTTCTAATTAAAAATATAGAGAAAACAGCATTGGGCAGAGGAGATCAGAAGCACTAAATTTTTATCCTCGTTTGGACATTAAACATAAAGTAGCTCATAATCGCTCAGGCCCCATGAGGTAGTATGGCTTAGTGGACGGTGTATAATGGTTTCAGTCTGATAGGCCTGGAACTGGATTTGGATGTTCCAGGTATTAACAGGGAAAGTTAGCTTTTGGAATCTAAGCTCTTTCACGCATGAGTCAGGTATAACATCACCGACATCCTCTTCTCTATACTCCTTGATTGGAAACTACATCTAAAAAATGGACAGCACTTTTGTTTGTTTGATATACTTGTCGGTGGGGGGAGGGACAAAGCTGGAAAGACGAAGGACCATTAAAAATGAGACAATGGCAACAGTCTCTCTTCAAATATCAGCTTCACAAAGTAGTAAGTGTACTTCATGGTGAAAATGTATCAACAAGCGTTAAGCTGAGGATAATATTTAAAACCTGAATTTATTAATAGTCATAATTCTTTCAAAATCAAGAAGCCATCAGACCAGCCGAGAGGCGCGTTGGTTAAGAACTGGCTTGGGATGTCAGAGGGCCCTGGTTCGGATCCCACATATGAGGGCCAGTGACACTGCCC